GACCGCATTGCTTAGCAACGGCAATCCCTGCAGTCCCCATTACCATCAAGTGAAGATCATGAATTTGCAGATAGTTTGTTAAATTTCAGTTGGGTTGATAGAGGTATTTTCAGTTGCCACTAGATTTAACATTAATGCTGAAAAACTCAGCAAAAAGGCAAAGTAACCTTAAAAAGAAGCTTTGCCCACGACAGCCTTGCAGTTTTCTCAAAAAAGTTACAGAAGTGGTTTGACATTATCTTTTTCTGTGATTCCTTTGAGTTCCCAATTGGAAATGGCTAGTACCAAGATATATTGCTGAGGCAGCTGTTTTATGTACAGTGGCAAACCAGACTGGCAGTTGAAGTTTATTCCGAAATGGAAACAGAAATGTTCACCACCGCCCATGTAGCAAGCTAGTTTAGGAGATACATGACAATACTATGTAACACACAGGGAACGGCTGTGTGTGTATGTATATGTGCATGCACAGGATAAATGTAATTGAAAGATTTGTATGTGAATTTCCTATTTTAAATGCAGACCTGATACTTTAAACAAATAGTTTCTTCTCATGATTTTGTTCTCATAATTTTGGAGAAATATCAAATCAACTGCCAGGTGCAAAAAGCAGAAAGTGGATGCCTTAAAGCATGAAATTCTAGGAAACCTCTTTCCAGTGCTAAGTGATGCCACGTGACCATATTGCTTAGCAACGGCAATCCCTGCAGTCCCCATTACCATCAAGTGAAGATCATGGGTTGTTAAGGGAGGACCTCCTCGCAACTTCCTGCTGGCTTTCAACAATCAAAGTTAGTGGGAAAGCTAGCAGGAAGTTGGAAGTTCCAGGTGCTTGCAAGCAGGCCAGCAGGCAGGCAAGTGGCTGCTGCTGAGTGAGAAAGGGAGTGAGGGGGTACATGGGTGGCCAGGGAGGTGCAGTGTGAACATAGGCTTGGGAGGGAGTGTGAGTGGCATGGGTGGCTGGGGAGGTGCGGTGCAAGCGTGAGGTTTGGGGAGGGTGCAGAGATGGTGGGAGAGACGTGATGCAAATGCAGATGGGCTGGGGGAGTGTGGGTGGGGGAGGCTTACCTGAGCAACTTGCAACCTTCCTTACTGGCTTCCCCATTGACTTTGCTTGCAGAAAACCGGCAGGGAAGGTTGCAAATCGTGATCATGTGACCACAGAATGCTGCAACCGTTGTATGTGTGAGCCGGTTGCCAAGCTCCCAGATTGCTGCGGTGCTGGGACAGCTGGAACTTCTTGAGTGTCTTTCCAAGTTTGAACAGTCACTGAACAAATGTTCATTAACCGAGGACTACCTATATCGGTATCTTTATTTAAGTTACATAATGTAAAGACTTAAGAAATGTTTAAGCTAGAAAAGAACTGAGGCTCTTATTTTAGGCTTTCTATATTACGTCAAGTTCCAGCTAGGTAATTAAAAGTATATAAATGTATTCTATACCTTCCCAAAGGCTTCTGAGCCAACAGGTGTTAGCTGGGAGAGTGCAGACACAAGTATAATAAGCAAACATTTTATACCAGTGTTTACAGTATTTTATAATAGTTTTGTACTGGGATAGCATAACAATGCAGAAACTGCACATTTCTATGAGAGCGCACACAAAAATGGCAGGAGCCATTACAATCACATGCAGCAATATGTGACGGCTACTTTTTAAAAACTTTGTAGAGTGAACGATATAAGCAATCCAGCACACTGACTAATCTCTCATTTCCATATATCAAGTTATCTGCAAGTTGATGTGAGTAGGGGAAATTACTTTTACTGTTTTCCAAGCAAGCTAGGGGCTGGTCCAGACTGAAAATAATTTCTCCATATATATATATATGAATGAGGCACTTGGCCCATGTGGTAAGCAGAAACTTCCATTATCTTCCAATTAATTTGAATTCTGGTCTCTTTAACTGTATAGCTAGTACAAATATGAATTATATCATAAACTGTAGCATGTCCATAGTTTAAGGAGAAGAATTTATGGAAAATTCATGACATGGTATTGGAATACCACTATAACTTATTTTAAACAGTATCAGGCTGATTTTAAGAAACAACGGATCCCATTAAAGTAATTAAAAATAAAGATATGATTTGATTTCAGGATGAATACAGCTAACAGAAAAAATATTATTGGTATATATATTCCAAAAGCAGTCCAGACATAACTGGGATGCACTAGACCCCACATTATTGACAAAAGAGAAAGCAAAACAAAATGCCTAGGTTTCAGTGTAAATCATGAGATGCGTCCACTACAGTCAAAAAGCCTACTGGAGCATCTTTTCCAAAGAACATTACAAATAGTAAGTGTTAGAAGTTTATTTTCGTGAAAGTATGTATTATTTAAAAAACCAACATGGAACAGAACTAATTACCTAAGATAAATTTTATTGGGGGGGGGGGTTCTAAGGGCAACCTATGCATATGCTTTGTAATTTGTTTTGTACACACAGAAATGTACAGAATCAAATAAAAATGGCAAGTATAATATTGACAATTGCACCACTTTTATCTATTATCTCTTGAGAAGTTACTGATAGTAGAATACTTATGCATTTGATTATTTTGCTCTCCTTTTAATTATAGAAAAAATAAATTGAACCTCTAATGCCCCTTCAGTCATGAAACTGAAAGCAGAAAATTCCACCTACTTCATTTGGAATACTAATAAAAGAGAAGGGAGGAGCGTATTAATGAGAAAAATATTCTCCAGATACTAATCAGGTGAAAGAGAGATACATAGCATTTTAGTATTACTTAAATCTTTAAGCCTTCAAATAAAGTGTAGAACAACTATGGCATTTTAAAAGTCTACACGTGTTTGAGTGTGTGTGTATGTATGTATGTATGTATGTAAGTATGTATTAAATACATGAGAATTTAGATCTACAAAATATTAGATTAAGCATATTCTTGATGAAAACACTAATTCTAGTAAAAATGCAGAGCTTTATACAATACTGGAGTCTTAAACAGTGCAACTTGTCAAAAGGTTTACTAAAGATGATAGTGCTTCTAAAAATTCCATGTTAAATCTGCTTAAAGAAGTTTGAACTGCAAGTAAGCTAAACTCGTAAGACTTTGGTATAATTTGTGATTTTGCAATTCAGATATAAAATTCAGTGAATCAGGCTTTATATGATAAGCATTAATATGAATTCTTCCACATTGATCTTTTGAATGAAATATGAAGGGCAACAGAATTTTCTAGCTTTAATATTCTTAAATGAAATAAATGATTATAGTACTAAAATATCACACCTCCTCTTAAATACTGGCACAAGCTATCTCTTATGTCAGTGTAATTTTCCTACAAACTTAACAGAATCTTACTGTTGTTGATATCTCAGGACCCCAAGTGTATACATACATCCTAAGCAATTACAGGATTGGGCTATTAAACATATACCTTTCAGATAAGTAACTGAATATATGTGGAACAGATCTAAACTATATACAGGTAGTCCTCGCTTAACAGCTGTTTGTCTAGTGACCGTTCAAAGTTACAATGGTGCTGAACAAAGGGACTTATAACTAGTCCTCACACTTACAACTGTTGCAGCACCCTCGTGGTCACGTGATTGCGATCCGGGTGCTTGGCAACCAGCTCGCACTTATGACAGTTGCAGTGTCCTGGGGTCATGTGATTGCCATTTGAGACCTTCCCAGCTGGCTTCCGGCAAGCAAAATAATTGGGGAACTGCTTGATACGGTTAACAACCGCATGATTTGCTTAACGGCCACTGCAAAAAGGTAGTAAAATCGGGCACAACTTGCTTAACAACTGCCCCGCTTAACAACAAATTTTCCAGTCCCTATTGTGGTCGTTAAGCAAGAACTACCTGTAAAGCTATTTTCACAGAGTCACTATTGTGATTTAATACTGCAATTTATAATTTTCCCTCTGTATTACTTGCAAACTGACTTAAACATTTAATTCACTATATCAAACAGCTGCATTAGCTCTTTAAAATGCTGCTGTGTATTTCTTCTTTATAAGAATAATGTAGGTTATTGCACAAATGTATTTCTGGTTATGTTAACACTTATTTCCTCATTTAATGCTTGCATAGAAATATGCTAAAATTTAAAATTTAACATTTAAAATGCTATATAAAAGTAAGAAATATTACTTTTAAAAGTAGTGTCCTGAGAATAGTACAAAATTAATTATACAAGCCCTTCATTTTTGTTTTATTTACAGCATCTATTCCCAGACAAATCTGTTTCACATGAAATTGTATTGATACTGCTTTTCCACAAAAATATTTTAGCAAACTGTTTATAATTTGCATTTAAGTAATCCATCTCTAATCTACTTTAATTATTTTCCAAGCCTTTTACATGTCTAAAATAAGAGTAGCTCAAAATAATTACACTACATGGCCTGTTTTAGCACATAGAAAATTCTGAAAGCTTTGTGCATTTTTATATTTTGGTCAAAACAATTAAGTGTACACAGTTATTACATTTTGACAAAAAGAAATTTCAAACTCTTGATTTTTTAAAAAAATATAAATCTATACTATTTATCATACACTAGAACGGTTTTCTTTTGCAACCTTTTGTAAATTTGTTTACTTCAGAAATGAAAGCTAAATGCTATGATTTAAGTGCCAGGGGAAAGAATAAGCATCTTTGGGTTAAATGAAAACAAAATTCACTGGGAAGAGTAAATAACATGATATGTCCATTTCCTGTATTTTACTAATGATTTAAACACAGAGAATTTTATAAAAAAACAAAAACAGATTATTCAATTATCCTATGCAACACATACCTAAATTCTGTTTCATGAATATTAAACTTTATGTATTATTTTTAAATATAATTCTTAAAACAATCTATAAGCTAGAT